GTTGTCTCCGCATCGCCAGTGTGGGATCTGTAGAGGCACACATAGACTCGAGTCTGATGACCTAAGTCTATGCACCGCTAGGAGGGAAAAGGAAGGGTCTTCTAGGCAGCGCAATCGGTGACAGCAAACATCCGCCCGGACAAACAAGCATACACCGGCTTTCGCTTTGAAGGACTCTTCAAGTGCGTAGCCGGGATAGTGAAGGTAGCTTGTATCGGCCGGGCGGAGAATTTGCGTCTCCGTCAGAAACAACATTGCAGGCCGTGCTGTCTCTAGGTGTTGGTGGACAGCATTGAGGTTGGCATGGAGTCCCCGTATATTAGAGAACTCAACCTCAAACAGCGAAGGCGTGGGGTTGTGCACCGCTGTACGACCAGAACGTGTTGCTGTGGCTGCCATAAGGATAAGGGGTGAGGAGACGTGAAGCGGGAGGGCATTGTCGCGACTGCTCCAGTCAAAAATATGGGCGCCTGTTTCCCCAGGTGTTGCCCACAGAGGAGTAGCACCGATCCGCCAGACGGAAGGGCCCCCGTACCCCCCCGGGAGTGGCCGCCGGGACCCACGCTCCGGTCACCAACTGGCACGACGGTCCATCCCAAGATTATGCGTGGCATGATAGGGCAGCCTCACGAGCTGGTTAGGCACGCTTGGGCCCCTGTACTGTACCACGGGCGGCCAGCGGTCAGCCGTTTCTACGGGTCTCCCTGGCTGGCGGGTCGATGCAGTCCTCCTGGCACTGGTTCGACGGAGGCACCCACCGGACCGAAACAGTCGCGGCAATGTCGTCCCGAGCTCTGGTTGTACGTTGGCTGATCCCGAAACGCGCTCTACGAGCGAGCACTTCACGGGTTTTTCACCATGTGTGTACGGTGGTAACTAACCAGGCGGGATTAAACCCTACCACCAGTTGCGAGCAGATCTGAGCTCGAATTCCTTTAGTCGCCTCTTACGACACCCACAGGAAAGGAAGGGGCGGTGAGTTATGTATTCTTTCTCCGTCACCGCACGGACGACAACAATATAATTCTTGTGTAGTTTCATACATTTCATTTTTGCAATAAATAGAATTTTTATATTCCAAAGTATCTATATCAGTTAACATAGTACGGTGCGTATCAACAAAAGCTTTACATTGCTCTTCCAAGCTTTCTTACCTTGTCTCTATATAACCTTGAGTGAGTCGTTCTTTTGGCGACTTTTTAAAATTAACTTTACCTTTAGAAATAACAGACTTAACATCGTCCTGTAACTTAGATAACGCGTCCATATTTACTTCTTAACTACTTGAAATAGATTGAAATGAATTGTCTTTAAACATAGAATATTATAACAATTTCAAATTAGGTTATTAGCAACAGATGAACGCAACTCACTTAACTAAATGTACCAATGTCAAAACAATAAAATTCATAGACACCTTACAACAATTTATGTCCTAAGCAATTCACCTTAGAATTTACGATACAAAATTTCCAAAAATATTCTAAGTCCTAAAAGTGTTTGAAAAACGAACACTTACAAATTTGAAAATCGGGCATAGGTTTCCTGTCTATACAGGTTTTAGCCTAAAATTTTACAAGTTCAAACTACTATACTAAATTAATCGATTTACTCTAAGACCAAATTTCTTCTAAGTTTCACGCCGCTTTAGAGATATTTCTTCTTAACAAATAAAGTTCAAATTCACTCACTGTTTTTTCCGTATTCAATACCAGTATAGTTCCGTATCTAGCCACCTGCTTCTCCACTGCCGGCGCTGCGTCCTTTTGAGTTTACTTCAACATCGACACGAACCCTTTGAATTTTCTCAACTTCACTGCTGCAGCAGAGACAACACCATAAAAGACAATCCGTCTACACGTCGGTGTTACATCGACGGCCAGCTGAACACTTCCCTCTAAGGTAGCCTTAATCCGGCTCGAAGGACCAATGAACACTGTCCCAAAAAGATTTATAGAATAGAAAGAAAATAGTTTTCATCAAAATGATGTATTAAAGTGCCAAACAGTACAATTTGATGATAGACTATATATTTACAAAAACAAGTGAAACCATACCGCAATGTACAAATAATGTAGCGCTATCTAGTAGCCGAAACAATAACTTTAATTCTTAACATATGTTACTAAAGTTACAAATAACAATTTATTGATTCTAAATAAAATTCTTTAGTTTTCTTTGTATCTATGTTTTATTTATACGTCCCACTCGCCTGGCACAGCATGGCGTCTTTACGGTCCTTCAAAGAGGATTCACGTTTATAGTCTATGGCATATTTATTTTTCTTTTTAGAAGAACAGACGATCAAACGGAAATGTTCTAAAGTCGTATATTCACGTGCAAATCAAAAATAGATTTATCTATTTTTGTGTATGTACCTCTTACACATATTTTTGAGCGTGTTTTTCACGAGAGATAGTAAAATTTGGTGCTTACCTAACTTTCACCTAGATAAGTTCAATGAATTCCAAATTAAAAAAATTAGGTAATGTCGCTATCGTATTTCAATAAACGTTGGTGCAACTGGGTCTTTTACGGGTAACTTATAGTACAAAAAAGGTTGTGTGAATAAGTAAAAGCTCCTATAGGCATTACTTAAGAGAACATTTAGGTTTCTTATACGTCAGTATAAATTGCTATAATTTTTATTACGATGATTAGATTACATGAGGAGCTCGATGGCGCATTAGCTAACACGCCCGGTCTGCAATACGGTTGTTAAGAAATTTCACAATGGCCATAACCTATCACTAATATAATAATTTATTATAATTCTGCCATGCTTCGAAGGCACGTTTCATATTGACATCATCATAACCAGCCTATTAGTGAAGACATTAATAAGTTGGTGATGATAATTATAAAAAATCATTCTTCCGGTTACGTTTTCACCATTTTGTCTCAATTTAAACAAAAGCCTTTTTGTTGTGTCTTGGTTTCATTCGTTTCGTAAAGTTTAATTTAGGTAATATTTTTTTTTTGAAAAGCCATATAATATCCCGAAAATAATCTTCCAAAGTCGGGCAAGGCACTTTCTGTAGGTAAAAACTCATATTTTTAAAACTTCTTATGTTCCATTCTGTATACAGCTTTATCAAAACAGTCATAGAGTGCTATTTTGTTTACTTTTAAGAAACATAAAGAAGTCATTGTTATTTACCTTGGCTTTGAAATGATCGAAAAATACTATAACCTTTGAATTAGGAAATAATTTCAAGAATTTTTGTGTCCGACTGTAATGGCGTAGGTGCGATGTGGCGACCATAAAGCAAATATGATGCACTGACAGCTAGGACTGCAATTATTTTTTATATTTATTGTATTGTTGATCGAAGATATTTGCTTAATATTTTTTTCGCACTGTTTATCAGATTAATTGAGTATTTCTAAAAGATAAGATCACAATGCCATTAAACGCAATTCCTTCTATTCTCCTTACCTTCTATACCAATGACATTTCATCTGAGCTCTATACAATCTCTGCACTTAGTATTAGTCAAAATTCATAATATAAAACAGAGACTTAGCAAAGGTGAACTTAGTACGAGGTTCTACGGAAGTAATATTTACTCCTAGAAGGTAGTAGGTATGCTTATTCTCTGTAGGTATATTATAAATTTACACTAATACTAAAATTTTAATTTTAGAGTTAATTTACTATGACGCTAAACCTTGTTTATTAATAGTACTGAATATACGACTATTAAACCTTATCGCACTCCGATGTAACTAATATTCTAAATTTTTTCGTGTAGGTCATAACATGGTCATCCTAGCTACCGGGTTGGCGCATATAAACACCTCGCTTGTTTATATACGTTTGTAACGTTACTAATAATAAGTGTTTGTGTTTGTTAATTAAGTAAACTTATATCTGTGGCACAAATTATATAGATACTAAATTCGTATTTGTAAAACTATATGAATTAAGTGAGTTAGGCGGGGAATTAATTAGAAGGGCATGCCCGCGAGCAGGTCTGCTGACAGGCATGCCTGCCAGACCTCGATTAATATAGGGCGGGTATGTCTCCGCGCGGTGTATGGCCTCCGGGCCGATCCCGTGCATCGCCTTCCATGCGAGGGACATCGCTGAGTTTTAGTGGGTATACCCCTGCTATTAGACTAGCCCCATTCTGGGGTGGGTCCGCAGGGGGGGAGCCCCACATAACCCGTGGAGCCTGCGCTGGGTGAAGCGGGTAGGCAGTAATGCATTTCACAGCGTCAAAAAAAAAAAAAGTCTAGCTAGTGTACCGTCGCATTCATTACACAGACCTATGGTAACGGGTTCTGGCAGACATTTCTGCAGACTTCTGAGACTTTCTACATACCGGCACACGGCCGAAGAGAACACAACGTGTGTCGCGATGTTTGCGAACTGGATGTAGACGTTCCACCACCCAGATGTAACACTATCTGTGCCCGTGGTTATAAGTAGCATATCCTCGTGGTATAAATGTAGATCATGTAAGAAATGGAGTATGAGGGGCCATTTTGTAAGCTGGGTTAGGTTAAGATTAACTTTTAACGTTCAGAGCACAATGCATTTATAAAATAAATTTCCGCCAGGGGCTTGGCCTTAGTGGTGTACACGATAGACTTATTCCTAAAGAATCATTTAGTGGGAAAATATGTAGCCTATTATCAAAACCTTTCATCAATATCTATTCAATAGTTTTTTCGTAAAAAAGTCAAACATGCATCCTCACAAACTTTCACATTTATAATATTAGTAGGATTTATACAGTATCTATAAACAATTTCAATGCGCTATCACAGTTTCATGTCAATAATTTCCATTCCAAAGATTTGTCGAATGAAAAAATATAGATAGAATTCGACATGTTGACGACACAGCCGGCGGCGACATGTTTTGTGTCAATAACGTATCGTCCACTTTACTGGTCCGCCAAGACCGCACAGGATACATAACATAGCGTCAGAAACAATTCTGCTGCCAACTGGCACATGACGGTTGACGTGAAGATTAGTCTACCTAATTGGAAATAAAACAAGAGACACGATAATCCACCCATTTTTAAACTAAACTTTACAGCAAGTTGAAAATGGCCTCTTTACAAATTGACGAAGAAAGACATAATATTAAACTATGCGAGCTCATTCCTATTTTGTTAGGCCTTGTTGGCTATTATGGAATCTTGAATGTACTCTACAATATGAAAATCACAAAGAAGAATTATTTGGATAAATTCAAACCTATATCTTTGCTTTAGTTAAAACATAGAAAGCTCAAACAAAGCTTTCAAACTTTAAAACAATAATAAGTTATTAAACTTGATATGTACCGATTTTAAATATTATATAAGTATTATTGTTTGTTAATGTTATAGTGGTATCTAAATTCATATGTACGATTTCACTAATGGAACTAAAAAATATTACTAAGGACACGTGGGAAATTAAAAATTAAACAACATTACATACGAGTAATATTTTTAAGTCAACATCATAATAATAATTTATTGACGCCTGAAACCTGTTAATACCTAACGCCCCTTCAATAGTCTAAAAATAGAAGCGTCTTGCAGTCTGTTTTACATATTCCAGTAGACTGGACACGGCCACTCCGATTTGACAGCTGAAAAGCTGTTCCCGCGGATTTTCTTCGCGCCATCATTTAAGCGTAACGTCCTTGCGTAGAACAATCATTGATAGACAATAATAAATTAAAACAAACTATTTGACTTTTTTTTTTTCAAAAATGGCGCAACCAGTTTTTAGAGTTTACGCGTTACTTGTATTTATCTCTTTATGTGTTCAATGTAAAACTAAGTCAAGTGAAAGCAGTGAAGAGCATATTAAGGCTCCTGAAATTAAGCCACAGAAGGTAATTGAATTAAATTAATTAATATGGCTGATACAGCCAGTTGCACAAATGTTCATTAAATTTTCCATTAGTTTAAAGTGATTTTACCCATACAAATTTAATATTCATTAGAGCTTAAAGGCGTCATTAAGCATTAATGGACGTTTCTGCAACTTACCGTATACTGATATTATAAATGGGCAAGATTTAATTTATTGTTTGTTTGCATTCAATTGGGTCGAAACTGCTGGACCGATTTTAAAAATTATTTAATCTGTAATCTACATCATTCGGGCGAATTCGGGAGAAAACAGCTAGTATAATAACAAGTTTTATCAGAAACACTTATATGCTTTCTCTGTGTAATCAAAATCATACTTTGAAATCATGCGACCCTCGTTTGTGTCCTTTCAAAGATTTGTTAAAGGCATAATTTATTAGATAATTTTCTAATCGTTTATTTTTGCTTTCAAACCTTTTTTTTGTTTTAAATATAAAATAGAAATAAGATTTATATAGCATTCTTATGTCGGTGATAAGGTAGATTTTATTTTTGTAGTCTTATGGGCATGTTTATAATAACTATATAAATATATTTTTTTATATTAACTATGAGGATTTAATTCAATATAATTAATCATACTAATCTTATAAAAAACCACCAAGTCCGAGTAGGACTCGCGCACGAAGGGTTCCGTGCTGGAAACGAGCTAAAAATCACATACCTATGTTCTATGGGAGCATCCTAAGATATTTATTTTATTCTGATTTTTAGTATTTGTTGTTATGACGGAAACAGAAATACTTACATCATCTGTGAAAAATTCAACTGCCTATCAAAGTTCATGAGAGACAGCATGGTGACAGACGGACTGACGGACAAACACTGAAGTCTTAGTAATAGGGTACAAAATCCCTAAATATGATTAAGTAACTATCTGTAAGTGTGTGTCTGTTACGTTTTTCTGTCTTAGCTAAGTACTTGAAATTTGGTACACAGATAAAGTAGACCTTAGAAAGGACATAGTTTATACATCCTATCCTTTTGCGAAAATATCTATTCATTCATTCTGCTTGTTCATCAATAAGGGGTCTTTCGGGCCTGAAAATTACTCAAGTATTTAAATATTTTAGAACATCTTATATATTTCATAAGTTTTAAGTTTTCATCCAATTTTAATAGATACTTATTTGTTTATTAAAAGCAAAATTTCGAATTAGGCCCTTTTCGAATGAAATATTAAAATAGGATAACTTTTTATTTAGAAATGCCTTAAATAGATGTTATTAATTAAAAAAAAAAAAAAAAATTGCCACATTATCAGCCGGTTTCTGTATTGAGAAAAGTACAAAATCACTGATGATTAACTGATTTGTCTCAAATACCTCGGTTTTTTACGTTTCACTAGCCTAGTATTATCAAACTTCTATCAACTGATCATTAAAAAAACTATAAACAGAAACGAAAACCTGTGTAAGTGACGTTTAAGTACAGCTTGAGACGTTCTTAACCCATATTATCCCAAGACTCTAAGATGACAGAAAATAGTATTTTTTTTTAGAAATATCTAATAATAAGAGTTCAAAAGAGACAAAAATATGTATTTTATGTTTTTCATATAAATGTAGACTGAATTTCAGGACCGCACCTTAAATGGGGCACTGGGACAATATTCCTACGGGTTTTGTATGGAATATTAACAACTCACGGTATTTTTAAAGTTGTTTTATTATTGTTTAAAATGAAATACAAACATAATAGTATTAAAAAAAAAGAAATAAGATAATTTTGCTCTAAAAATATAATAAAAATATGCGTAAAAATCATTTTATGGTGCGAATAATTGTAGAACACTGTTGATGCAAACCAACTTCACATTTACTGCATTTGAATTTGGTGTTCTTGTGACATTGGCGGCAACGAATTTGAGTTTCATTACAGATTATGTAGTGTCCTTTCTCGTCTAATCTTATAGAATCAGGCAGTTTGTTCTTGGTAGTCAATCAAAGTAATCGTAAAGATGTAAATAAGTTATCGCCATAAAAACTGTAATGATCATTTGGTAGCTTCGAAATCAAATTCATCACAACTGAACCACCCACACCAACACTTGGATTTGTATTACCAGTTTTGGCTCCCTGGTAAGGCTCACCATAAACTAGATAACCGAGTCTTGTGCAGAGAGACCAGATCTTGTATCAGAAACGAATTGGTTTGCCATGAATGTGCTGCTTGGTTCCGTGTTTACCGAAGTATGGCACCATCGATTCATCAATTGATAAATGCTTATCTCCAGGGAAATACTTCAACCATCTTTCATTCATCATATCCCAAAGTGGTCTTACCTTAGCAAACTTGTCATCGGGAGGAAGTTGGGTATTATCACAAGCATGATAATATCGCTGAATTTCCTCAAATCGATTACGAGTCATGCATGCGGCTACTCCTGGATGATGTGTATCAACACTCTGATCCCAGTATAATCTATAGAGTGATACGCTATTGTAACCTGACAAAAGTAAAATTCAATTCCTATAATGTTCTTCACTTCTTCAGTGGTGATCCGAAAGTTGACCTGCCCCTTAGCAATTGCATTCTTTTCTGTACTAGATCGTAACTACTCAAAAACATCACCATCACAAAACATCTCAAAAAATTCTATAGGATTATCTTTATCGAAAACAAAATCCCGGTACTGTTGACTCTCTTTCCGGTTTAGAAGTTATATCTTTATGCCTCCATTTTCGATTCACAATAGTCTTCACTTTCTTTGCAGGAGGTTCTTTTGATGTTGACGTAGACAGTAAACTTTTTTGATCGTTGTAATTTGCGCTTGGTGATCCATAAATGGTTTCAAGGACTCCTTCTGCTGATGGAACACGACACCGCACCCCAGCTTCAGCTAGCAATTGTCAACGAGCAAGATTACTAATATCTTCTGAATCTTCGCTTCCACTGTCTTCATCGCTCAAATCATCGTTTTCAGGTGGTGTAATGATTATGTCTGCTGATAGTATGGAGTTATCATCCTCCAAGAATGATATGATTTCATTAACATTCAGTCTGAAACAAAAAAACAAAACAATGTATAAACAAATATGAGAAATAAAAACAATTTCATGTCATAACAAAAACACTTTGAAGAAAACTTCCATAGTCACCTGTTCCCAGCGCACCTTAGATGGGGCGGTGAATAAATTTCAATAAAATGTAAATAAAAAGTAAACATATATTTTTTTTCATAATGTAGATAAATAATTTAAACATTTATCTATAAAAAAATAGTAATAGAATTATTATTTATAAACAAAAAATATTATTATTACTTACCTTTTTCTCGAACTCATCTTGACCTAATTTCACGAAACTTGCCTACGTTTTGTATATAAACCAAAAACACGTTAACTTCAATTGCACAAATAACACAACACAGTCAGTTGTCTAGCTTATAATAATATTCATTTGCAGTCAATCACTTGACTTTTACTATTTATTTGAGGGTAGAATATAGATGCACCTTAAATGGGGCGCTGGGATAATATGGGTTAACTTTAAATTTTCAATTCAGAAAGACAGTATGTGATCTGTTACACTCACATTAATAGGCAAACCTAGGCGTCGACTAACAGATATCATACCATAACGTTAGGTACTGACTAATGTGTAAGGTGCTCCTAGTTAATGTTGAAACACATTTCACTTTAGCCAATTCCTAAATACCTATTTAGACATGAAATTTGAACGACTTAAGTTTACTGAAAACGGCATATGGCAACGGCATAAATTTGCGAAATATCATAGTTGACCTTGATAATTTTATATATTTGAACTTTGAAAAACTAGGTTCATAAAAGAACAATTAAGTACGTTTTTGTCTAAATATTATTGATTTAATAAAATAAACTATTATTTATTTAATATCAAAAATAGTGTAACTTTCAAAGGTTACTAATGAAGTCTGTTAAAAAGAAGCTAAACTTCCTTGGTCTTATCTCAAATTTTCTTTCATTCAGATACAACTGTTTGTTGTCAACAATTTGATATTGTTCCCAATGACATTGACTCTTGGACGCGGTTATTTCAGATAGGTATTTTTAAAAAAAAATATACCGCGAAATTATCGCATAAAAATAATACGTGCGGCCGTAAATTTGGCGGTTGGACTCTTTTACGAGTTCTTATTATTATAAATAAAAAAAGTTTGGTGACAAAAAACTGAGAGCTAATATTTGTCTGTTTGTGACGTCTTTGCAATTATTACCCATGGGCCATGGCCGCCGTGCCTCGATATTGCTAATTTTAACACTATTCTAATCTACTTTTATGTAAAACTTGCTGTCGTAGGTCCAATTGGGCCAATGTCAATAAGGGTTTAGACAACTTTTTATATTTTTATTTTATAGATAAACATATAATATATGTTTACAAAAATATATAACAATAATATGTATTTATTAATAAATTGTTTTAAATATACATATTTTAAATACAAATATACATAAGTTAATTTGATTATCAAAATTTCCCGCGAAAAAGTCAACTTCTGTCATGGCGTCGCTATGACGTCACGTCCCTCTTAATTTTATGTATGCATAAGGTTTAATTCTCTAACAGCCAGTTGCACAAACGTCCATTGAATTTTTCATTAGTTTAAAGTGACATTACCGATACAAATTTGACATTCATTAGAGCTTAAAGGCGTCATTAAACACTAATGGATGTTCGTGCAACTGACCGTAAGTTCTGATACGAGTAAAAGGGGCGTGACGTCACGTGACAACGAGTGTAAAATATTAGCTTTTTCATAATTAATTTACAAGTAAAGCACTACCAGAAAATAATAATATGTATTTATTTTCGTACTATCCCAGCCGCCTGACGAGGCAGCAGGAAGGCCTGTGGGACTCTTCTCCGTTAAGGGCGGGTGTCTATCCACTAAAAACCCTATGAGAATCCTCGTTTAGGGTCGGCACCCGTAAACCAGAAAAAAACAGAAGCAAACGTCAATAATTGGCTCAAT